TGATCTAATTCACACTGTTTATTAAATTACCATGTTTTTTTTTATTAAATACAGTAAATAATTTTAATTTAGGTAAATCTTTTTTATAATATTTTATAACATTTAAATGTGTTATTTTGATTAATTCATTTATTTTATATCAATTCAATTATTTTTAAATTGATTGACTTTAATTTACATAGATTATGTATGCCTTAATCGTGATATACCTACTTATATTTAACGTATTTTAAATAAGATTAAGTTTAAATTGACTAAGATAAATTTATAGATATCTTGTATTTATTGGTCTGTAATAATTAAGTCATGTGGCACTAACTAAATAAATATTTTTTAATTAAATAAACTTTTTTTATTGTTTCGAACGAGGTCTCAAATTATCATATCAGTTTATAATCAGTATGACATGCCTATACATGAATTGATTTTTTTTCAAATATAATTGTGATGCTTTAGTTAGAAACATAGTTTGACTATTTAGGTATTATTAACTTTTGATTATTTTATTTATTAATTAAGGCATGAGAAATATTAAATCCAAATTACAAGTTAATATCCAATCAAAATTATTTACTATAATTCTTATTTTCATAAATCACGCTTACAATATATACTTTTTGCGCCTATACTGGCTATAAATAGTATAAGAAAAAGAAAAAAGATGTTACCTACGAATATAATATTCAAGGTCGGGTTTCGGTTTTGCCTGTATTTTAGCGCCATTTTGATATATCTATACTATAATAAAAACGTAACCGATCGATGTCTGTACGTACATTGCAGATATATGAAAAAAACAGTTATGAGGGACATTTATAAGGGTGATAGAACACAAAACAATGATTTTTAATTTTTTTGTCTGTTTGTGGGTTTGTCTATTTGTCTGTGCGCTTGTGCACGATAATCTCAGAAACGGCTGAACCGATTTAAATGCAGTTTTCACTATTATATTGCGGCATTCTTCCGTTAACATTTAGTGTGAGATTTATTTCAATCGGTTCACAAATAAAAAAGTTATGACAATTTGAAGTGACGTGGTCGCCAAAATTGCTATGAAATATTTACTGTCTTATTAAATTTTCGTCTTTGATATATTGATCATCATCATTAACTCTTTCACAGCCAAACTGCAGGGCCTCAGGCCTTTGTTTATTAATTTTTGGTCACCCATGCTGTGAACCACTCTTGCGAAAAATGCTTAGCAATAGTGATCGTACGCAGCGGCACTTATCCGTAGCGCCACCAAGCTACGAATTAATATAGTCTATAAAATGATAATTTGTATGATGACAAATATAATAAAATAAGATTCCAAAATTTTGACAACTCCGAAGTAAGTTGACCTCATTTATATATGGCCAATCATATTAAATAGGGTTTAGCTTATAATGGAAATGTGGTACACGATCACGCGAGTATGAGAACAAGCGGAAAGAGCCTTCCGATGATGCAATTAAGCCTCGAGTAGTTTACAGTTAACGCATATTTTTATCAGATTAGGTTCATGTCGTCGTCGGGGCCAGCGGAGGTGGTTGGCAGCCGCATGACACGATTTCGTCTGTCTGGGAGAGGCACTCAATTTAACCAAGCCTCTCCAATTTTCCATCTGCAAGGGGACCAATGGTCCAATACTTGAGTGTCCTGGTGATTTGGCCATAGCTTGCCAGGTTTCATCTCCCATGAGAGGGTGTAACGTACGGTTTTTGGTGGGTAGGCCTCTGCGGACCCACTGGGCAGCTCACTGTCGGGTTCACGGAGGAGAATCCTACTCACCTCCTGTTGCTTGCCAGGTAACAGAGACAATGTCAGAAGCTTTTCCACGACGTTGAAAAAGTTAGATCACGTCAACTGAAGTTAACAACGTAAAGACAACTCGAGTTACATATTTTTTTTTCTCTCATTACTATTTTTTATATTAATACTCTTTTTGTTTTGGTTGTTGGTATTTTCAGTCTTCTCTGGAAACAATGGTTTATTTATTGGTCACAACACTCATATAATATTACGCGAGTCTGAGGATTGGTTCAGGGTAGCTCGGTGGCGAATGAATAAGCGCCATGGCCCACGATTGTAGTTGTTAAGCAAATTTCGCAAAGGTCGGCCACAGGATGGGTGACCAAAAAAAAAAATTATCTCAACCAACTCCAAGCTTCGGAAGGCATGTAAAGCGATTGATCCCGGTTGTATTTGCAGTCGTTAATATCCTCTAATCCGCATTGGGCCAGCATGGAGGGTCGTGGCCCATCCTCCTTGACCATCCATAAGGAAGGCCTGAGCTCCTGCAGTTGGTGACGTAAAAGGGCTGATGATGAGGGCCGTTCGAATCTGACGGAAGCTCAGTTAAACACCTCTCGGAAGTATGTGTTAGTAGACGATTTCCTTCGAGTGTGGAAAGTCAAAATTAAAATATGAATATATTTTTAATATGAATAAACAAAACTCCACGTATCTTCCGTCAGACATGTACCGACCGAATTTTATAATAAAGAAAGAGATCGGACGAAAAGCGTTCGGTCTCGGGAGACACCTGAAAAACGCGTAGCGTATTTAACTGCCCATCGCGAGGCTCATGCACTATAAAGTTGAATCTGAAGCATATATCATCAGGGACAATCTCTTGCGCTCTCGGAGAAACGATACAACAAGCGTTTGATCTCCTAGCGTTTGATTCCTTTGATAGAGATATGCGCTTGGTCTCTGAAAGAGCTCGCAGTTTGCACAATAGAGATCGAGAAGGAGTTACGATTATCACCAGCCCGTGTTGCCTTCAACTCCACTAACGTACCTCAGATAAGTTTTCACAGGGTATAATGAACTAGCTTTTTTCCCACGACTTTATCCCGCATCCGTGATATAGCTTCCCGTAGGTCGGAATCGCTCTGAAACTATCGGTCCCGTAGTTTTGGAGCAAATTCGATGCAAACTTACCTACTTATAATATTATAATATTAGTATAGTTTCGTTATAAGAGGTCCGATGGCGTTGTGGGTTAGCGCATTCGGTTTAAATTGCAGTTAAATAAGTAAGTAAATACTGCACAACAAGGACATACATGAATACTTATTTTACATAACTAAGTACAAAAGACAAACTCATCGCTAACCAGCGATTTCTTCCAGGCAATCTAGCATTACATGGAAAATAGAAAAATAAATAGCCGATTGTGCATACAACTAGACAAATAATAATAGTTTAAAATGGTCAAAAACAAAAGAAGGACAGTTTAAAGGTACGAATAAAATGCTCAGACGCAAGCGACTACCAGAGCGCGAGAAACGAGAAGAAAAAACATTCGTAAGGACCATTCACAGGATGGGTGACCAAAAAATTATTATCTTGAGCATTGTGCACAACACTGCCACAATGCACGTTAAGCCGTTAGTCCTGGCTGCATCAGCACCGTTAACACCCACCGATCCGCATTAAGCCCGCATAGTGGGTTATGGCCCATTGTCTTATTCGATTGAACTCCATACATAGGAAAAAAAGAATTCTACCAAAATACTTCCCACGCAGACGAAGTCGCGGGCTCAGCTAGTTTATACATAAGTACATAGTGAACGACTACAAATAAATCCAATTGTGTTAGGTGTGTAAATAAATGAAATGAAATGAAAATATCTTTGAAATGAAATGAAAATATCTTTGAAATGAAATGAAAATATCATTATTCAAGTAGGCTATTACAAGCACTTTTGTATCGTCCAAAAAATAAAGAATTAAACATTGGTAGCGATTATGTTGCACGAACTGCGCTATGTTTATATTTAGTCTTATCACGCTGCTTTTTCAGTAATGAAAATAGCTATCTATCTTTATGTGACCTGATGGATCAAGAATTAATTTCAAAATCGAAGAGGGTCGCAAAATCGGTAAGTTTGCCTCCCATCTTGGCTGGCTACAAAGCGTATCTAACATCACTGAAATTGGATCAAAGTTCATACCCGACCACAGTGTCGACCATAACGAATTTGTGATAGATACCTTGGCATATATTTAGTTATTTCGAATACATCATTAGCATTTCGTAACATTGCTGTCAAATTAAAAATTAAAAGTCTGTCACCCACCCAGTTTCACAAAGGCCCTTTAAAATTATTACATTAGTTAAAGCGACATCATCGATTCAAATAGATAATAATAATAGTTATGCTAGATATGCTCAACTGCACAACGACTCAACTCTTTTATGAATGTTCTAAACTTAAAAAATAGTGTAGGTAATGACTTTTAACTTAAAGGAAATTTTAATGCCTTTGTGCAATCGGGGCAAGTCTTTTGATTTTAACGACTCCTCTATCAGTATTTGTTGTAAAAAAAAAGTTGGATTTAACTTACAATCGATCGTAGGCAACTCGCAATAATGGTCAACAATCTTTGTCATCATCCTATACACGTCTACTGATGGACATAGGCCTCTCCAATTGCACGCCATAGTGCTTCTATCTTTTACTATACTCTTACTAATCTCATCCAGTTCCTGTCAGCTACCTCATGAAGATCGCCCTCCCATCTCGTCTGATGACTTCCTACACTATGTGTGCCCATCAGCTATCTCCATTCTAGAATGTGGTGCCCCAACTATTGTCAGTTCTACGACTAATGTGACCCATCTTCCAATAGATTATGATAATTAGTTTCATTTTATGCTGTCACCTGTTGTTGTAGCTTAGACACATTTTAAGCTACACAAGATACCTATTCTGTTTTACTCAGACTCTACCTTGGTATTGTCTACTTTTGTTAAACACGCACGAGTGATATTTTTTCACTCGAATACGAGTTTGAATAAGTCATTCGAATGACGCGACTCGAGTAAAAACAGCACTTGAGTCGCATCACTAGTGTGTGCTTTGCTTTTGCTCTATTTACTGTTCAGTTGTCTTGGAGTGTAGAGTGGTGTAGAGTTCACGGGCAGTGTTGAAATTCTCTACAGTAGAGTTTTAGTAAACAAATAGATTTTATCAATATTAATTATTTTACACCTTACTCTGTGAATATAAACCATGTCAGACGATTTTATACCGTTAAACCAAAGTACACCTGTACACGGAAAATGGCCAAGAAGAAATCAAAACCAAAGGCATTATACTCGTAATAATCGTTACCAACATATTGGACCACGGAGAAGTGTTCATAATCAAAATAGATGGAGTAATAATTCTATGAGAAATAGTAGCTTTGGGGTATGTTACAATTACACATTTATATACCTACATACAAATTTATTTGCAATCTCAGATTTCGTTGTCTGTGACAATTTCATAATTGGAAACTATGTCTTGATAGCATGAATCATCTTAGCCTTATCATTACAGTTTCTTTTAATTACTTAATGATTTTTTGTGTACATTTCCAGACTGACTCCAACTGTAGCTATGGCCAAGATACTAATCAAAGTAGCATTGATGCATATTTTCATCCATCCATGCTTGAAGACCCATGGGAAAAGTTGAGGCAGAGAAACAATTCAAATTAAGTAAGAAAACCAAAAAGAGACATAATTCACTGTGTTTGTGCTCTGCACACTTGTTTTATAATACAGATATTTAGACTTTTTTATTATTTAGTTTGTAATTCATCAATATGTATAAGATTGTTTATGAAAATGCTTTCATGTCTAAACTAACTCTGTATATCAAAACTTCATGTTGAATCTGAAGAATTTAAAGTTAAGCTCGTTTTGTGTTCTTCAAGTGCGCATCTTTCTTTTCTTATTTCTCCTTTTACCATTACGCATATTATAAATAAAAATAACATACGAGTATATTTTAAAAGGGTAAACAAGTGTTACCTCTTTCAAGATCATGCATTTATCATTGTTAATTTTACTAAACTAAGCTGTTTTTATTGTTTAGATTGAGAAATAGATCTTTTTTAATTGTAATTTTGTAAATGTCAGTTTATAGTGAGTATTAAAATTATTGATGCTAGAATATAATTTTAATTTTACCTTATAAGTGATCTAGATTACTATGTTTGCTTAGGTTAAAATAAAATTGTTATTTAAACTTTTTTTTGTTGTTTCAATTATATTATCCCTTTTCGCTATTAGCAATTAAGTTAGAGATTACTGTTATATTAGTTTCAAAGAATACACGAATAGCTTATTTAGTAGTTATAACAGTAGAGTTAAAAACAGCTCATAACTCTTCTAAATACATAAATACTCATTCTGCTATATCAGACCGTACTAGAAATTTAATGTTAAGACGGCAACAACTGCAAAACACTAAACCAAAGACACGAGCATGAAAAACTTATAAGCAAATATATCCGAAACGATTACAGCACTCAATGAAAAAAGACCATTGAAAAACACGTACTGCAGTCCGGAAGCTTGAAGAGGGCTAACAAAGAATTACGATCACATAGAACCTGGATAGAAGGAGTCACGGTTTCAGATAAAACAACTGGCGTAAGAAAGGAAATACTTCAAGTTGCTACTAACTTCTATAAGGAATTATATAGTTATGAAAAAAAAGGCCCGCTTTCAACTCTACCAAATGGAAAATCGGGAAATTCAGACGTACAGAATATACAAGACATAGACGAAATAGACGTAATGAATGGAATCGCTAAATTGAAGTTTGAAAAAAGCCCAGGACCCGACAAAGTAAGCAACGAAACCCTGAAACTAGGAAGTCGACATCTAGTAAGCCCTCTTACACAGCTCTTTAATTTGGTGCTCAAAACGGCCACAACACCTAAACAATGGACTGAATCTGATATTATCTTATTATACAAAAAAGGTGACCCAAATGTTATTAGTAACTACCGACCTATAAGTCTACTGTCTTCGATTAATAAATTATTTTCAACAATTTTAGAAAAGAGAATTAGAAGCACTATTGACAAGAACCAATCAGTGGAACAAGCAGGCTTTAGAAGAGGTTTTTCTACTGTGGAACACATTCACTCTATCGATATGCTTATAGACAAATATCAAGAGTTTCACAAACCTCTCTACCTTCTGTTTGTAGACTACCAAAAAGCTTTCGACACTTTATACCATCACTCAATATGGGAGACTCTACAACAGCAAAATGTTGAAATGTCATATATAAAGGTATTACAGCATATATATCAAAATTGCAATAGTAGGATCAAACTAGAGACGACCGGACCATACATACCAATCAATAGAGGAGTAAGACAGGGTGACGTCATCTCTCCGACAATATTCATAGCAGTGCTACAACGAGTTATTGGGCAACTAAGCTGGGGAAAGGTTGGTTTAAATATAAACAATCACTATATCAGCCATTTAAGATTTGCCGACGATATTGTTCTGTTCTCTGAAAATGCATCCGAACTTCAATTAATGATAAACGCTCTTTACGTTGCAAGTCAACAAGTAGGCTTGGAAATTAACCGCAACAAATCCAACATTATGACAAACTATATTAAATATCCTGTATACCTTCAGAATGAAGCGCTAGAGTATGTTGACACCTACATATATTTAGGTAAGCAAATCTCATTTAAAATGCAGAGAAATGAACAAGAAATAGAGAGGAGAATTTCAAGTGCGTGGAAAAAAATTTGGAGCCTAAAAGAAGTTCTGAAGAGCAATATGTCCATCGTAATAAAACAAAAGATAATGAACTCTTGTATACTACCATCCTTAACCTACGCTAGCCAGACCTGGAAACTCACAAATCGAGTAAAATCCAAAATTAGAACATGTCAGAGAGATATGGAAAGAAGTATTTTAAAAACTAAAAAATCCAAAAAATATCGCACAGAACTATAAGAAACAAGACAAAAGTAACTGACGCTGACACTGTAAAAAATTAAAGTGGCGCTGGGCTGGCCACATAGCTAGACAAACAGATAATAGATGGACTCACATAATAACATGTTGGGACGGCCCACCGGGCACTAGAAAGAGAGGTAGACCAGCTGCGCGCTGGACAGATGATATAATACAGGTGGCGGGAAAGCAGTGGATGGAGACAGCGAAAAACAAAGACGCTTGGAAGTCTCTAGAGGAGGCCTTCACCTTCGAGAACGAGGGGTTCTTACTAGCTTAGTTTATAGCACAGATTCACATTAACTACTTAATTCTTTATAGTAAGAAATAAAAGGCATTTTTATTTATTTTTTATTTTATTTATTTATTATAATAGTAGAGTTGGTACATATTTGGCAAGATTACTTATCTCATAGTCAGACATAGGATGTTAATACTGGGAAGCTGGCAGGAACTGGATGAGATTAGTAAGAGTATAGTAAAAGAAAGAAGCACTATGGCGTGCATTTGGAGAGGTCTATGTCCATCAGTAGACGTGTATAGAATGATGACAAAGATTGTTGACCATTATTGCGAGTTGCCTACGATCGATTGTAAGTTAAAATTTTCCAACATTTTTTTACAACAAAGCTGATAGAGGAGTCGTTAAAATCAAAAGGCTTTTGAGTCGTTATTAATGGACGTTTTTGCAATTGAGCATATCTAGCACAACTATTATTATTATCTATTTGAATCGATGATGTCGCTAAAACTAATGTAATAATTTTAAAGGGCCTTTGTGAAACTGGGTGGGTGACAGACTTTTAATTTTTAATCGGACAGCAATGTTACGAAATGCTAATGATGTATCCGAAATAACTAAATATATGCCAAGGTATCTATCAGAAATTCGTTATGGTCGACACTGTGGTCGGGTATGAACTTTGATCCAATTTCAGTGATGTTGGACACGCTTTGTAGCCAGCCAAGATTGAAGGCAAACTTATGAGTGTTACGCTGGCAGGTTACGGATTAACTGCTGACATACGCTGCGCACGAGCCCTCAATAACTCGAAAAATTTAATTGTATCTCTCGAACATAGTAATGTTTTATTTTACAACCTGTACAACTAGACTACCTGGAACTTATTATTTCTTTAGTTCGAGATAAATATGTTATTGTTAGCATTTACCGACAATGGAGCTAAAATCACACTATTATTTCTAATAAACAATTTAGAAGTATACAGTAAATAACAATAGGATTATTACAATTTATGACTCCCGATGACGCATGTTTACTTGCTTGGTGCAGGTGTTGAATTTTCATATTTTGCACATAGTAAATAAAAGTATGTTTATCACCTCTGCAACTTGAACTTTTTTTATTTTACCTCTCTTACTCAAAATTTATGAGGAGAAACTTAACCTTTATATGAGAAATCAAAATCCGCCTAAGTCGAAAACTCTATAACTCAAATTTTTTAAAGTCTTCCTTGATGTTTGACTTATAAAGGTTCTACTGTAGTAGCTTTGGGGTAATAATTATACTTATATTCAAGTTTTTTTTTGGTTATCTGTAACAGTATCATGGTTAGAACCGATCAGACTTGATAACTTTAAACTTAGTGTCATTGAAGCGTTACAGTTACTTTTCATTACTTAATGATATTATGTATTTCCAGAGCGACTCCAACTATAGTCGAGATAATAATCAAAAAAGCATTGATGCATATCTTCACCCATCCATGCTTGAGGACCCGTGGGAAAAGTTGAGGCAGAGAAACAATTGAAATGAAGAAATAACAATACGCAAAAAGACATTATGCTCAGTTTTTGTGCTTTGTGCACATGTTTTAGTACTAAGATTTTTTATAAAATTCTTCGTAATTATTCTACCTACATGTTCAAGAATACTCATAAAGAGGCTTTATATCAGTTCTCCCTGTTATTTTCTGTTATCTCTAAATTGATCTAATTCACACTGTTTATTAAATTACCATGTTTTTTTTTATTAAATACAGTAAATAATTTTAATTTAGGTAAATCTTTTTTACATTTAAATGTGTGTTATTTTGATTAATTCATTTATTTTATATCAATTCAATTATTTTTAAATTGATTGACATTATGTACGCCTTAATCGTGATATACCTACTTATATTTAACGTATTTTAAATAAGATTAAGTTTAAATTGACTAAGATAAATTTATAGATATCTTGTATTTATTGGTCTGTCATAATTAAGTCATCTGGCACTAACTAAATAAATATTTTTTAATTAAATAAACTTTTTTTATTGTTTCGAACGAGGTCTCAAATTATCATATCAGTTTATAATCAGTATGACAGGCCTATACATGAATTGATTTTTTTTCAAATATAATTGTGATACTTTAGTTAGAAACATAGTTTGACTATTTAGGTATTATTAACTTTTGATTATTTTA